GTGGAATATTGTACAGTATAATTTTACTTTGTGAATGTTCAGTAATCAAACCAGGTGTGATAACTAGCTTGCTTCTATAGACTAAAACATCAGATTGGGCACAATCTGAACTATTCTGTGGAGACTGATACTGCTCTCAATTAGAGCTCCCTTTTTCAAAAGCCACTCTTAAAACACATTATTTTATTCACCTGAGTTGATGAAACAATTACTATGCTAATAGTGAAAGGAGGAGTGATGTTCTCAGCTGTTGTAAGAAATTAATTTGAGAAATGAGGAATCAAATTGGATACAACTATTAGGAGGAAGGTCCAACAGTATCATGTCTTGATAATGCCAGCATCATATGCATCAAATTACACCTGGGCCTTGTTCTGTTAATTGTTAGTGCAATTTACATTTTAGTTTCAAGAACCACTACACCTGTCACCAAAGAATAAATAAAAAGCAACTGTTCTTAAAGTTAAATTTACTGCCAAATTAACAAAAAGCTAGACCAGTATTTTAAAAAAGAACCCACAGTGACAGAGACATACAGGTGCATTCCAGAATCCTTTTACACAAAATTTAATTGAAGAATGAACATACATCCGCTTTATTTCAAGGTAAAAAAAACAAACAAAAAACCAAGAAAAAGTAAACCTGCCAATACCACCGCTGCACAGCATTTAATTAGCATGTTAGTGGCAGAAAAATGCTTCTGGTGATAAGTTCATACATAGAGAAGCTTGTCATAGTCATCTCGTGCTGCTATTTGTCTCACTGTCTCTGTATTCTGCAGATGAAGTTACCCATTTCAGTAGTACTGCCCTACACAAATTTAAGTGGAAGATTTAAATAAATCCAGATTGAGATACGTTGTTATGACTAAAATTTCCCTGCCTCTCCAGCAGCTGTGGCCTTGCAAGTTGCAAATAAACCCTACTTTGATGTTGTCTAATAGGACTGTGCAAAACAGCACCATTTTGTTTCAGCTTACATTTTGATGGGACACTTCCATTTTGAGTTCTGTTTTGTTTCAAAACTGCTGTTCTGTTTCATTGAAACTCTTTTGGTGCTGTTTTGACATTTTGCACATAGGCTATAACAGGGAAGAATGAAAGTGCCTATAATTTTATCATTTTCTGCCTGATTCCGATGAAACTTGCAGGGATGGTAGCCCCTTCTGAGGCCATGAAGCCTGCCAGCTTTCAAGGAGATAGGTGCAGGGATTTCTGCGAAACTGTGCCTCAGGCTGCTGAGAAGCAAAACTTGTGACATGGGTAACACTGTGTGTGTGTGTTAAGGTGTGCCCTCACTAGTACTACGGCCTCTACACAAGGTAGTGTGCCCTAATGAGGCTGCCTCCTCCCCTACAGCCTCAGTCTGGTCCACCACTTTAAATGACAATAGGTAATAACTTAGCGAGCAGCACAGTAACATCAGCAGCATCTCAGGTAGCCAAACTGTCAGAGACTAGAGCCTTTCTTTCCTTTCCTGCAGGAGCTTCTTCTCCAGCAGCTGCCAGAGAACTCTGCCTGCCAACCCCAGCCCTGGGGCTTAGATGTGCCCAGGGCCCTGCATCCTTCTGGTCAGGTGCTAGGGGTGTTGGTCTAAGGACATGGCACTGGCAGACAAGGTCCTTTCCTTTGGGTCAATCTAAGCTGGTATCTTTTAGGAGACGGACTGAATAGTTAGTTACAGAAATGCATCGTAGCAAGCTTTCCGGTTGAAAAAACCTTTGTCAGGCTGAGGAAGCACCTTCAGTTGGTGTGTCTGTGTGCTGTTCCTGGATAGAAGGAATAGTAAATGAAAAAAGGAAATAGGTGCAGATGGAATAAGGAGGTGGCATTCACTCTGTCTGCACCTGGAGCTTGGGGAACCCCAGCAGCGGGAGGTTCACCTTGAGGAACACCAGCTGCTCCACCAAACCAGGATCCAAGCAGGGGTGGTGGGGTGTCACTACCTCTTCAGCAATGCTGAACACCCTCTCACTCGGAACACTGGTCGGTGGACAGGACAGGTGTTCAC